GTTGTGTTGTGGCATTGTGTGGTATTTTGGAGTCAGAACTGCCTCATTTGCAGTGGGTGTTTTTGATGTGTTTACTTTTGGTAAGTTTTCAAGTGCCATGTATGGGACTACTGTTGTAGATGTTCCTTCTCCCACATCAGCGAGTGCCTTGCATTGACAGAGGCAGTCATTGACGTCTTTGTGTGGATTGTTGAAGCAATACAAGTAAGTTAGAAAGCTGGCCCTCTTCTTTTCATATCCATGCTGTGGTTTTGTGCTGAGGTTCTTTTTTTACGTTTTAGGCGTACCGTGACCTTGACGACTTTGAAGTGGTTGATGTAGAAGGCGTGTTGGTCCACACGTTTTCTTCCTTTCTGAATGACCCATTTGTCTTCCGTCTCATGTGTCTTGCTACTAAGAAATATGCAGGTGTGGAGCCGTCACAGATTCCTTGTTCTCATCGTGATTTTTTATGTATGCATTTACTCAACAGTTCATCAACAAATTGTTTGTTAAGCGGTCATCAAGTCGTCGATCGTGAACAAGCTGTATGATTTGCGTTATCAAGACGGCTCGGGTGTAACGCTAAATTATGAAGAGTTGCAGAACTCATTCCTGAGGTATCGTTTTGCATTTTAGCATGAGTATTTGGACCATGTTCAAATGTGGCGCCATGAAAAATTCCCTAACACGATCTCACACTTTGCAACAGCTTCTCTTTCGGCACTTCCGCACTATCACAATTCCGGTGGGGGGATTGATCAAAAAATTTACGCTGAATTTTCTCCTACGGGGCTTATCGAAGGTCTTGATCACGAATATGACGTCCCGTTGGCTCCTTCTGGCGTCACTTTGCCCCGACAGCTGTTTTCACCAAATTCGGTGTAAAATTCTTCGTAGAGGTTATTTGGTAACCTGACTGCAAATATGACATGGTTTTTGGCATTCACGCTGTTTAACGCATGTTTGCTCTCTAAAGGAAAGTCTTTTAGGACATGGAGCGCTTTTTCAAAACGGTTTTTGCAAAACGCACAGGGAGCACAAAACTGAGAATGTTTTCTTTTTCTGAGCGGCTCTGGGAACGCTAAAAAACAATTCGATAACGCGAAAACGAAATGCAAAAATTTGTCGTCAGTGGAGGTCGAACCACAGGCCGTGGTTCG